TGTGGTCTGTCAAAGTAGCTGCTTGAGGTACTTTAGTGTTCCAAATCTTGCTAAGCAGATGTCAGCCATAGAAGGCTGCTGCTAACCCCCAAATGCATCTAAACTGCAACTACGTTTGGCTAGACTTCTGGCACAACTCCAGATTAGTCTTGCCTAGGGAGGATCCCTCATACCTCTTGTCTCCTCTGGGACTTGACTCATCCATGCTTGCCAGTTCACAGTTTCTAAGAAAGGGGAAAAATAAACATTAAAGGTGGAGTTAGGGCTGATTCTGACCTAATTTAAGCTTGCTGTCAAGGGATTTCTGGGGAAGATATTCCTTCTCATTACCGTTCTGAAATAAGTGGGACAGAAGCATCCAGGAGAGACAGATGCTTGCTAGTAATGACTAGAGTTCAGCTGGTCCTGGAATCCGGCTATCCAATCATTAGCTTTAACTTCCACTAGTGTAATCTCTAGCTGTGGACGATAATAGTTGTATTCAATTCTAGCTACAGATAACCTACTGTCTAGTTCTGTGGAGAATGCAGATCAAGAAACTTTGCCCACCTTAGGTACCAAACTACCTGCACTGCAACGCTCTGTATGTTCCACACCTCTTACCCAAGCAAACCGTTGCACCAAAGAGCAAGACTACAGGCCTAAATCAACTGGTAGAAAGACTCCTACAATGGCCTCTCCAGTACCAGGAGGCCCTTTTCTTCGTCCTGTTCATCAAGTACCCCTTGTTCCCCATGTACCAATTGTACGACCTGCTCATCAACTGCATCCAGGATTGGTCCAGAGAATGCTGGCACAGGGGGTTCATCCACAACATCTTCCTCTACTGCAAGCAGGTAATCCATACTTCTTATTTTTTTTCCCCTTGAATCAATGCATGTTGTCTGCGAGACTGACTCTGTTAGGAGCAGCGCAAACTGATACACAGAACTGGTGATCTGTTACATCAAAACTTACTTTTAAAACCAGGCAATAAATTCCAACCCATCTAAATACGTAAATGTTTGTTTTGCTTTAAGTTCCTTATGCTTATTAGGTAAGAAGTTTCCTCACTCTTGTCCAACAGGTATGCTTCCTCCTGGAGTGGACCTGTCTCACTTGCAGGGAATATCTGCTCCCATCCTTAGCCAGCCTTTCTACCCACTACCAACAGCCAGCCATCACATCTTAAATCCACGCTCTGGGACACCTCTGCAGCTAGCGGTGATGCAGCAGCAGCTACAACGATCAGGTAGGCAAAAACCTAACACAGGAGTGTGCGTTTTGGAACACTGACCATCCTGCTCCAGGTACTTGTTGGTACTTGTCTCACTGTACTGGGCCAACAGGAAGCTATTTGGGTGACATAGATACCCACCCATTGGTTATTTTTGACATCGGAGTGCTTTTGGCCACTGCAGGCTCTTGTGCCAGAAGGAAGCCCGAGTGACGCGTTCTGTTCCAAGATGCATGCCGCTGTCGACAGCTCTGCCCCTTGCAGCACGTGTGCAGTCCTCCCTTCCTTGCTGGGTCAGAGGGGCCACCCACCCCTCTCATGAAGTGCTATTTGATGCTGGTCTTCCAGTTAAAACTCTGTGATGCTGTGTCCAGAACCGCAGTGTCGGGCAGTTTATGGCAGCTACTGGCAAGAGAACAAACACGTGGGGTCTGCACTTCCCAGGGCTAATGGAATGAGTGGAACCCATGTTTGCCTTGTGCCTTATCAGGTGATGGCTGTAGGGCAAATCTGTGTTGGGTGAACACATTCCTCCACCTCTAATAGCTTTACGTTTCACAGGCACGGGAGCGCAGGGATCGCCCGCTGGTGCGCAAACAGCCCCTCAAAACGTGCTGTCTCGGACTGGATTATCTCATGGGCACACACAGCTTGACCATCGCCCCAGCCAGAGAAGTGGCTCTCCCATTGGCCTTGCAAAATGGTTTGGTTCCGATGTCTTGCAGCAGCCTCTCCCTTCCATGCCATCCAAAGTCATCAGTGTAGATGAACTGGAATACCGGCAGTGAACAGTGACCACTGGGTGGGACACTTGTGATGCTTTAGACTGGATAAAAATGTCCATAGTCAGGACTTCACCTCTGTTTGTTTTTTGGGGCTTTCATTTTTAGCACTCTGTGTGCAAAATTTCTTTTTGAGAGACTAAAGCACATGGCACCTGTCCTGGTCTCATGTCTGCATCAAGGATCCATTATGGCTTGAATAGTGAAGCCTGAAGAAATAGATGCAAGACAAAGCCAGTTTAATCCTGGAAGTGTCTATTTTTTGTTTTTGTAAGATATGTGAATGAAGTGCTGATAATCTCTAGTGTAGAGGTAGCAGCTGTGGATTCCTCCTGCAGAAAACTAAATGTATAGACCCTTGTGTACAGACTTGTGTATAAACAATCTTTTGTATATATACACCTAGAGTAGCCTTTTTGAATCTATACAGCTGTACATAAGAGTAGCTGATAACCGTTGAGCTTTAGTTGTGCCTATGGTTTGGATCTTTCTCCATTGTACATGTGGGACTTCCTTTAAGATTAAAGTTGCATATCCTAAGTGTGAGTGAACAGGATAAAGTTGCTTTGCCTTTCCTTGCTGCTCATCTCCCAAGTCTCCCCTCACATTCTTCTGTCACATGCTGTGCACTCAGCGTAGCTCACGTGTCGAAGTAAGAGGCCCCTCTCTTGCTGTCTGTGTAAGAAAGGTCTGATTCCTTCTGCGTATGACTCTTGCCGTGAAGAGAGAATTGTTTAGTCTTCAAACAGCCTCGAGGATGGGACCTGGTACAGTACCAATACAGCCAGATCTTCAGTCTGCCCTAAGCAGAGACCGTAGGTACCTACTGGTCATAGCTCTTTGCCAAGAGGGCGGGTGCTGGTCCTTGTTGAGCTGCAGTATTTTCATTGTTTTAATCTTTCAGATCAGTTGCTGAAGGTCATCAAAACGGAGCCTTTAAATCCTGCCCCTTAACTCCTCAGTCACGGCCGTGGTATGAGCTACACTGCCTTCAGTTCTATTTATAGAATGGAGTCCCAAGAACTGTCCTGGACCTAGAGTGCATCTACCAGTGCGCTTCCTGTGAAACCTGCCTCTGGAGTCTTGTTCTGTCGCTTGAAAGGGGGAGGATGGGGTAGTTTTGTGATCTTACTGTGTATATTTGGTTTTAAAATACTATGTTCCTTTTAAGCCTGTTTCACTTTCCTCAACAGCTAAGTGTTCTCTTCCATCCTTCTGCTGCACGGTTCCTCACTCCACTTCCCCACCTGTGTTGAGTCTGGTACTGCTGTCATGTCCTCTATCTAGCTTAGGCCATTGTGCTCTTTTAAGAAAGGTGAAAGCAAAAGCAGAATCCTCCTGGACTTGCTCTTTCTTAGGTCTCACTGAATGCAAAACCAGCAGCAGGGAAAACCAATCACTCGACTGTATTATAACAATTGCCAGCATGCTGCGGTGGGTTTGTGTCAGTCCTGCAGAGACAGTGTTGTACAGAAAGAGCAAGCTGAAGTGTCCAACGTGGAATCTGTTGGGGGTCACCCATGCTTCTAGTGCTTGTTCCTAAAACAATCGTGTAAAACATGCAATCACCAGCTTGTCCTTGTAAGACTGTTTTCATACTTTTTTAACTTGACACTTTCCCAGTAACATTCTGTAAATAAAGTTGATTCTACCAGCTGTCTGTATCAACTGCTCTCGAACTTTGCTACGGCGGCAGTAGACGGAGCAGTGTTTAGTACTGCTCTCGTGTTGAAGGTAGGACACAGCTGGAGCTGAACCTTCAGAAAACTTCAACCTTGTCCTCCCTGCAGGGGAGAGGAACAGTCTGCTTTGGAGGGAGCTGCCCTCACGGGAGACAGACACTGGGCTAGGGCCATTGGAATGATGCCCTTCTCTGCTGGTACTGCAACAGCAGTAGCCTTATTAAAAAACAGGTTGGTTCTGGACCACTGTGCTTGGCAAGGAATGAGATCCCAGGGCACTCGGGAGAACCTGTACAACTGAACAGCCCTAAACAAAGGGTGAGAGGTTCACTGCTCCCAGCTCTGCCTCTCCTCCCTTCCAGTCAAGGCTGCTAATGCCAGCACACGTGCAGCAGGTAGTCCAGTTTGCAGGAATTGGACTCCAAAGCTTGGGGGAAGGAGGAACTGAGGCTGGAATGCTGTACCAGGCTGAGCAGCAACCACTGTTGCCAGGCTCTAGTGCCTGAATGGGTGTCTGCAGTCACTGTGCTCCTCTATATGTGTAACAGCATGAGTGGGAGCACTTCTGCCACGTTCAACTGAACACCACGCTTCCTTTTCTAGGGGAACAAATGCTAGAGGCTACCACACTTGATAAGCTTTTTGCTCACGTCAGACCTCTACTTTATTCAGTTTTATTAAAAAGCAGTAGAACCTCTGCTGCTGGAGCAGCCTGCTCCTTGTGCAGCTTACCTGACTTACCTAACCTAGGCAGGAGCGTCTTTTCAGAAAACTTAAACGCTTCCAGTCGCTACCACAGCATCCAGTTTACTTCCACTAGCCTAAACAACTGAAAAAGTGATTGCTCACAAGCAGAACCAACCCTCTCCTCCATAACTGCAGGCTATTAATAGCCTGGAAGTATTCAAACAAGAACATTTCAGACTGAGGCAGTCAGAGCTAGAACTCTGTCTCCTCTAGTGCTGTTTCGTAAGAGATTTCTCCAGTCTCTGCTTTTCATGTTTTATTCCAGTTTGGAACAAATTAATTCCTGGTGTGTGAGCTTTTTTTCCCCAGTTTAGAAAGGCATGCACACACAGCAGAAAATCAAAGCTTCCTTGCAAGATTTTGCCTTCGTGAAAGTCGCTTAACCTGAATTTCTCACACGTAAGTTCTGCCAGCACAGGACGCTGCAGTACAAGTCGGCCAGAAACATTGGGTTTATCATGCAGTAAGTTAGTACCATAAAAACCCAACGCCCACTTGCGACAGATTTGCTAGAAACGGCCTTTTCTGTGTCACTTACAACCAATGACAAACTTCAGGCACAGTGGCAAACGGTGTGAGAACAAGTTTATTTCTTCACAATCTGAATAACGTCCTCATCTTCAAGAGTATGGTCTTTACCAACTTTCTGAGGGTTGTGTTTAACAGATGAACCCCAGACCAGTGCACTGAAAGAAGAAGAAAAATCGAATTTAAAAGGCTTTGGAGTCTAATACGCAAACAGCAGAACAATGGCTATTTCTGTCACAAAGCTAATGCAGAGAGCAATGCTCAAGAGCTATTTTTATTCTCCTGCAAGTACCTGGATGAGTGGTCTGTGTGAACCAGAGTACAAACAGATCAAAACAAAGTATGAAGTCACCTAAAATGCTTGTGCATTCAGGACGAGGGCCTGTAAGTGCCCTTGCGTCTAGTGCTTCCTTCAAATATGAAAAAAGACATTTTCCCCATAGAGAAAATTCATCCAGGAAAGTTAAGCGTTAGGTTTAATTGTCATAGGGAGGTCTGTTCCATTCAACATCAAAAGGAAAAAAATCAAACCCTGTTTTCCCTTTCAGTTTACGGGAGAAAATACCATGAAGCAGACTATTTTCTATTCTCTATAAGTTACTCTTTTACAAGAATACTTACTATTTAAAGTCTTTAATGAGATTTTTGTGGATCTTCATGCAAAAATCCTCCACTGTGGTCTTGCAGTAAGGTAGTACCACAGGAGAGGTGTAGTCTGGGAGCTGCCCTTTGGGTTTGGTGTAGCTGTAATGCAGATGGAACAGCCCGTCAATACCAAAACCTCTTCTCTGCTTTCAGCCCACCCCGAACTTTCACAGGTTACTCGCACTGTCGCCCCAGGTGCTTGTGCCAAGTTCCACTATTTCAGTGGTGAAAGCAGACATTCTGAAAAATATTTGGCATTCTTAAGCTGAAAGTGATTCTGGGTAGCCAGTGGCTGCAGCAGGTTCTCCCTTGCAACTGCAAAGGTTTATCACTAGTGAACTTTCTCTAGCTGCTTAACATAAGATTAAACAGGAATGGAAAATAACATCTACCGTATCAGGGTTCTGATCTGTGATTTTTTTCCTGGGAAGAACTCAACATGTGAACACAACAGACAAGAGGAGCACAGTCTGATTTACAGATGAAACATAACTTCAGTGACAAAAGACATCATCATTTGAAAGCAAGTTCTATGCTGCTGGAAATCCATTATAAAATAATTATCATTCATCCAGTCTCGAGACTTTCTTAGTCTCGGCCTTACATGTAACTCCACAGAGGGCAGCAACTGGGACTCACATTCGTACTAGCTTCAAGTAGTCCCAAATTTTCTCCAGCAGATCATCAAAGTTCCAGCGATGATGAGCAGATATTGGTACACAGTGGGGTACTTTGTAAATAATATCTAGTTCCTCAATGGAAATCTGGTCAATTTTATTGAGGACGTAAATGCATGGGATGTAAACCCTGCCAAGAGAAGGAAATACCATTACAGCAGCCTAGCAGCAATACACTGCGACTTCTGAAAAAGCTTCTTTATTTACAATGCCAGCAAGGTGCTAAACAGCAGGCGTTGATACCACATAGCTAGCTTAGCTTCTGCAGGAAGCAAACCTCAGAGACTCTTCCTTTCTTTACAATGTAAACTGCAAGAACACCAAAGTCAGGGTCCCAACCGTACCTGTTCCCTTCGACAACGTCGATGAGGTCATCAGCCGTGGCGTCGCTGCGCAGTGTGACATCAGCATTGTGAATCTTATACTCTGCCAAGATGCTCTTCACTGTCTCAGTATCCAGCTCACTCTGAGGACACTGAAGGTAGACCCAGTATTAAGGAATGGAAGAGTTTACAGTCAAATCAAGTCTTACAGTTAATAATGCAATCACTTAGCAATCACTGCAGATAGGTTACTGAAAACAGCAGATGCCCTGCTAAGGTATTGGACCTGACTATGATTTTACCACAGTTAGTCTCAGGAGAGGGAACAAAGGTCTAAATCATAACAACTTTATTTATATTTATGCCACTGATAGCTGCAATCAGACACTGCCATAACATTCGCTGTCGATCGGGGACCAGCTGCAACACAAACCTGCGTATGTACTAGTTCAGTGCCCAGACAACTATCTGTTAGGTACCTGGATCCCAGAGCAGAGTACTGACTTCTGCTACCTCCCGCTATTTCTACACTTCTAAAGATTTGGTGGTAAATGGAAAATGAGGAGTCGTCCAGGTTGCAAGGCCTGGAACTCTGAGCTCTCTTCTCCAGAAGAACGCTACAGTCCCCACGCGAGAGGTGGTTTTCGCACACTCTCCTTTGGGCCTCAGAACTTGTTGGGAAGCGACTGAGCCTCTGATTTGGGGTGGGGACATGGTTACGGCTCTAGGGCAGGTATGGATGGCCTCCAAGAAAAGTAACTGACTACAGCACAGTACAGCAGCTCAGCTGCTAAAGAAGTCACAGCACAGGAATGGTCCCAGGCATACCACTAACTGCAAATGCCCCTTTCTTCAAGCATTTTTTTTTAATTTTGGTTAAAGAAAACTTCCAACTTACTGTGGCTGTAAGATTAATGCCTCCTTTATCCTTTTTTTTAAAGCCAATATTGGGGGGCTTACTATTCAGACGAATTCCAAATCCCTCCAGTTCATTCTCAATGATTTTCTTGTGACCAAGGGGTTTCAGCACATCCAGAACAATCAGAATGAGATTACAGGTTCGAGCAACTAAGAATTGGAAAGAGAAAATCATCCCTCAAAAAAGCACGCTTACACCATCTGAGAGAAAACAACACAAGAAGCAGTTCAGCGGACTGATGACAATATAAAACCCCTAGAAGCCAGTACATTGCTTATTTTTAAATTCCAGTAGTATAAAACTGAAGTTTGTAGTGCTGGCCAAGCACCACTCAGAGAGAGAGATCCTTAGCTGTTGCAAGAGGCTGGAAAAATCTTCCTGCCTACAGTCAGGCCCCAGAATGAGACAATAAGCTAAGAAATTAAGAAAGCAGTTTTACTGCAGCTCAATTCCATCATACAATTCAGCTTTTGAAAGACACCAGAAACGGTGACTCAACCCTCCGTTCTCATAAACTGTACTAACTGAACCAGTGACAGGATGCTGCCTCCAGCTCTAATGCACTCACCTGCAATGACTTGCCTTCCTCTGCCTTTACCATCCTTGGCACCTTCAATAATTCCTGGGAGATCAAGTAGCTATTTGTACAGAGGAAGGAAAACAACTCATGAGAAAAATATTTTTCTTCATGGAGAAAACAAATCCTACTTTTACCTTCCTCCTAAACCAGCTGACTACACTGCAAATCTGAACAGAATATGGCAAATTTGTTTCTCCTCTGATTCTCACATATGGTATTATCCCATGTGCCCTATGGCTACAATGGAACAGACCACCTCATAGAGAATATGAGAGCTACCACAGGAGCTTCCCAGAGCAAAGTGAAAAGCAGGGTAAAACTAGTACCTCGTGGAAACATTTCCAATGTATTCTCAAGCATTGCTCCATGTCTACTCTAACCTGATAATGTTAGACCATTCAGCCATTACACTATCACATCTACATATACAATCTTATCCTCACAGACACAGAAAGAACTCACCTGTATCTTTGCTCCTTTGTATCTAATGACTCCAGGCACCGTAGTTAATGTAGTGAACTCATAGGCTGCCACTTCAGAGTATACACCAGCAAGATTACTTAGAAGAGTAGATTTCCCCACCGATGGAAAACCCACAAACCCAATTCGGGCATCACCTGTCTTTGCAACATCAAAGCCTGCAAATGAGGACAAATATTCATTTAAAGATGACCATTTTCTGCCTTCTAAGGTTCTGGACAGCGGTCCCACTATTAATATTGCCTGAGTTAAAGCCAGGTAAGCTTCCCTACAAGGAGGATGAGAGTATGAAACAGAGTTCACAGTCTATATTGCCTTTCGCCACTTTGTCTATATAGCACTCCATGGCATGTACCTGTCAATAAAGTGTAGGCTGCAAGGCTTCCCGGTGGGCTATGCCTGACTTGGGTGTAAGTGGAGCATTCCCTTTAAGCACTGCAGCTTACACAATTCACATTTTTATATATAAAAGCAGGTTCCTGCTGCAAAATGTTTCTTCCTGTGAAAGTCCTAAAACTTCTGCAAATACAAGATTAGATTAGCCCAAACACATAAGTCTTTTCATTTATGATTCAACAAGGGCTCCACCCCAAAACCTCAGCAAGTGCCACAAACCACGGCTGAGGCCATGTACCGGGAAGGACTACAGGGAGAGAAGTCCCCCTCCGAAGGGACTGTCGGCAGACAGGCAGACACGATTTAAGCGGGTAAGAGCCAGCATCGTTAGATTTGCGTCGTACACCACTCACTTCACCAGAGAAGCGGCCGCTGAGGCGGCCAGAGCCTTCCCGCAGAACAACGCACCTTCCCCGGGGCCGCCGCCGCCGCCTCCCTTGGGGGTGATGAGCTCCCGGCGCAGCTTGGCCAAGCGGGACTGTCGGCAGACAGGCAGACACGATTTAAGCGGGTAAGAGCCAGCATCGTTAGATTTGCGTCGTACACCACTCACTTCACCAGAGAAGCGGCCGCTGAGGCGGCCAGAGCCTTCCCGCAGAACAACGCACCTTCCCCGGGGCCGCCGCCGCCGCCTCCCTTGGGGGTGATGAGCTCCCGGCGCAGCTTGGCCAAGCGGGCCTTCAGC